AAATTACTTTGCGCATGGACTATTAAAAACAAATACTCAATATATTAATGGACAAATCTTTATTTTATTTTACTAAAATTACTTCACTAAAAATATGATTTTTTGTATGTGAAAGACTTATAATATAAACTGAAAGACTGACACATTTTGTGAAGATATACACGCTACACTGAAAGTTAGAAGTATTAAATCTATACAGATTTTAATCAAGAGAGGCCGCATGGTTGGTCAAATTGATTTAGCCCATGTTGAGAGAGTTAAAGAACACCTGATCAGGCACCACAAAGAAAGAGACGAACATATCCCTGAAAAAGAAGAGGTATATACACTAAAAGGTAACTTATAGTGTCACAGTCTCATGAAAGAGTGAGGGATAGCAACAGATGGATGACTGTACCCTGACAACAGGAAAGAAACAGCTACCCAAAGCAGAAAATGGGAGATGAACGTTTGAGAGGTAGACCCAGTGCTCAACATATGAAGTACCTCCAACAGATGGCATGGTAGACATGCAGGGAAAAAGGGAGGTGCATGATTGGAGTGAAGACACCAGGAAGTGATGATGGGAAAAAGGAGACAAGGAATAAAAGGCCAATCGAATCACAATCAAAACCAAATGGATAAAGGAGGAAAGGGAAAAAAATCACAGACAAAGAAGTAGAGTAAGGGAAGGAAATGTGGGAAATGGGTTTAATGGAAAGAAGCATTGAAAACAATGAAGCAACCCACATATACTAAACAGAGAGGGTCATTGGGATCCCCCTGAGAAAAAATGTGAAAAATGGTAAGAACCAAATAAGTCAAAAGAAATATACCACATGAGCCACAAAAATGTAGGTTAATAAAATCGATCCAGAACAAAAGAAAGAAATCAAGCCAAAACAGCTGAGAAAACCAAAGCAGTGCCAGCCAGGAAAGATCAATCAGAAGGACTTGAACCAGAGTGACATGGATGCACAAAATTTTGGGGAAGAAGACTGATGGAATGAGAATAAACTAATATAAACCTGTCTGAACTTAATGACAGCCAGGGCAAGTGGATAACAAACCAGAGACCAAAAACGAAAGAGGTAACTAAATGGGAAGTGATAAAAGATTCAATTACTTCATGTGGAAAAGTACCCCACAGGAGACCGAGCTGCCAAAAATTAGGAGGATCAAGAGGTCACTCCTTGGGAGAAAGTGTCAGGACTGAAAAATCAATTAGCAATGAGGACAAAGCACCTGGAACACGACCCTCCAGAAGACATATGTCAAGTGTGTGGGTTAAAAAAAAAAAAAGGAAATCCAATGTTTACCTCAAAGGGAACAAGAAGGAGTGTCCCAGTGGCTAGTAATATAAGCCAGGAGATCACTATCCTGAACCCTCCCTACTGATAGAACCACACCCCTCACAGTTGGAGATGAGCATCAGAGAAGAGAAACAATCCAGAAGATGGGGGAAGAAGTGGTAAACCTGATGTCACGGGGGATATGTGGGGGTAGGATGAAAAAACCCAAAGTAAAGGCTCAGATACCCAAAAACACCTTCAAATGCAATTGAGGAAGAGAATGGATGATCCCAATGGAGGGGGTGTTTAAAAATACCCACCCCAAAGAGACTATAATATGAAGTATGTAACTGGAAAAAACTTATCAAACTGGAAAATCCAACTACCTGAGCCAAATATGGAAGGAGTAGAAGAGAATTTTAAGATTACCCCCGTTTGAAAGGAGCTAACCAAAGCTAGACATTCAATGAATGGTGTTGGTAAAATCCCCCAAATGTGGTAGTCGGGCAAAATGCAAACTGCCCCACAAAAAACACATGGAACCAATACAAGTCCAATGGTCAAGACACAAAACTGGTACCTAATCATGTGGTGAAAAAAATCGAAGATAAGAACGTGTACCATGGGCATTCTCAGTCCTGCAGAAACAGCCTACCCAATTGTGATCAAAGAAGACATATTAAAACAGGGAAGACCCAAGAAGTGACTGAGTTGGGACCAAATGGAAAAAACCAGTGTGTAAGACAGGTAAAGGATGGGCAGATGCCAAACATATAAAATGAATAAAGATGATACTATCTCAAAAAGAAACAAATAAGCTACTAATAAAATTGAATATAGCATCGCAGATATTTCATATGATGCCATATGTACAGGAGTAGCTCAAAAAAAATGGACTGCTGGAGAAAAAGAACTGACCGTAAGTCCCTGTTAGCAGTGGATGGTAAACAAACAGCAGTATTCCACTAGAAGATCCCAAAAGGAAAGAAGCCATGTGCGGAAGGAACGAACTGAAGATGACAAACACCTCAAAATGGAGGGAAGAAGGTACCCCATGAAAATCCCTAAATATAGTGGAAAACTGAAGAAAGGAGATGGAAAGTAAACAAGAACTGTAGGAGTGTTGATAGGGTAGAACAAAGCTAAAAGACAAATAAATTAGGTTGTCTGAAAATGAGTTCAGCCATTATACGAGGAAGGCAAGCAATACTGGGAGCAATTAGGGTGGACCCTGGCCCCCAAAGGCCCTCACAAACTAAATTAATGCTAAGAAGTATAAATTATAAATTAAATTAATGGTAAGAAGTATAACTTATAAATTAAACGAAATAAATGGTAAGAAGTATAAACTATAAAGAAAGACGAAAATTAAATAGTCATTATATTGGAAATGTTAAGAAACTGTGTAGTGAAATATACATGTATATAATATTATGTGTTGACAAAAAGGTATTTAACCTAATTATTGATTAACTCGTAAATGGAACCACGAGTAAACCAAAAATAGCAGACACTTATTAAACCTAATCAAACAAGATGTTTAACCTAATGATCGATTAACCTGAAAGTAGAACTATATGTAAACCAAAAATAACAAACACTTGTGAAGCCTAATTGAACAATACAGAACTTTGGGTATCACTAAGCACTAAGTAAAAACTGAACCGAACAATAATTAGGTAGAATATTGGGAGAAGTTCATGTTGATCCCAGGTCAAGGGTTTCACACAAACCAAGTGAATAGAAAGAAGGATAAGAGAAATAATAACAAAAATGAAATAGATGTGATTGTATAAAGTTAAGGAAGTGGGTAGTAGCAATAACATACGTATGAGACATGATGTATGGAAGAAAAAAACAATATAGTTAAACTAATGATTGACATACCAGTAAGATAAATTACAGGTAATCCTAAAAGAACAAAGACCATGGTAAACCTAAACGAATAGTATAGGAGAAAAGATACAACTAAAACTAATTGCTAACCTGAACTTGACTATGAGTATTAACCAATCTAATGAAACTTATGTTATGGAATCCAAATAACTACAGATAATAATATTAACAATAAAATTATTCAAAAACCATAACAGTAGAACATCTTATCTTTCCAAAGTTGGTAGACTGAATTTCAAATATGTGGGCCCCAAACTCGAGGAGAGGTTCGACAAAAGTCAGTTCATTGGACAATCAATCTTCCGATAAGATAAAGCTGAAAATTTTTCAACGGAGTACTGTGACCTGAAGCCTGTGTAAATGTGCTAATAGAACATATAACCTCCAAAGTGGTAATGTACAATTCATAAGGCAAAATGAATAACCAAACACAACTGTATTGGCAGAAACAAATACAAAGTTTTGTAATGAAGTAATAAGTTCCATAACTGGGAAGAAATATAAAATAATTCTACTTCAGAATAACTCAAGTTACAGATATCACTATTGTATAATAAAGAGTAAACTTGTTGAGAGAAATTAATACAAAGATATGGAAAAATATTAAAATAAAACACTTGAAGAGAGCACAAATAAACGTTATAACATGAATACTGCGAAATGAGAAGTGAAAGTTCGGTAGAATTGAATAGAGGGAATCACATGCATCAAGAGAGTATGTCACACTCTTATTGGTGGAGGGTTGTCGCACGATGATTTGTATGAGAGACGCATTGGAATCACTCAATTCCAATCGAGTGGGAGATTAAAGGCTTGTGGCATGTGTAAAAAAGGTTTTTGGATATAGAGAGCAGCACTGAATGAGAATAGCTTTTTATTTGAGCAGAGGTAATGTACCATATTGGAAGAAAATTTCTGTAGGTTTCAAACAGATATAACTTTACATAGAAGCATCTAAAGAAACCATAAAGAATTTCCCATATTTGTGATTTGTTCCCAAGTCCTCTAAGCTTCTCACTTGATTTCTTTGTTCACCCCTGAATGAGATTCAGATATTCAATATCTCGAGAAACCATTATTTACTCTACACTTAATTAAACAGTTTAAAATCTGCTCTATTCCAATGTAATATTAGCTATCACTATTTTCAAAGTTAAGTTTCATTAACACGTGTTCAGACCACATACTGTAACATCATAAAAAAGTTATATTGAAAGCTTGAAGTAATAAAACCATTGACAGAAAACGAAATTCACATAAGAAATAACACCTAAATAATAATATTCTCAAGGAAATATGGTGAATTAGCAAATATAAGCCTACACATTGGAATGGGCAAAAAAATTCTAAAAATAAACAAGTCAGTATATTTAATTTTTTTTGTGAATTACACTTAAATATTACAAGATATGAATTCTAAAATTTTTTGAGTTAAAAATTTTTCAAAATACAGTTACAATCATTATTTGTATGAAATTTGATTTTCAGGTGTGCACTCAACACATGAAATGTGCTCACCCAGTCCAGATAGGATTAACACCTATATTATTTAACTTAATGACTATTTCAAATATATGATTTGATTAAAACATCTCAACCAGCATTTCCATGTGGAAATTTACCAAACAAAAATTCTTAATATTTTGAATCTTAAAGATTTAATGGTAATTTTTCCAAATGCTGATAATTATTCTATAGTGTTTTTTTTTTGTTTAATTACTTAATAAAAGGTCAGTAATTTACAAATGTCAACTATATTTTCAAACTCTGTAAACACTATATACACTTTTAAAAATTTATTATGAAAAAATTTGCTACATTAAAAAAAATTACCTTTCTTTATCTTCTAAAATAAGATTATTCAAATATGATTGAAATTCTATTTCTTGCTGAATTCGTCTTTCTTCCAATACATTCCACCGACGTTTTTTGGCAATTCTTAGTTGACATGCTATATCATCTCCAAAATTTAATCTCTGTTCTTTAGCCAAATCACTTGCTAAAAACACCAAAAATTGCAAGTTCGATAATTAATATAATAAAACTAAAATATAACTATACCAAGTGACAAAATTTCAAAACACAATACAATAACACAATGATGAAATACATTTCAATAATAAACAATGTCACATCTAAAGAAAGTCATAACATTTGGTCTTGGCATTAACTAACATTACAAATGTCTTAGCTATCCCCTTTTTTATAAGTCTATCATTAGCAAGACTGCCTTAGGATTCTGACAGTCTTTGCCTACCATATAAGCACCTCAATACATTAAAGCTCATTAACTCTGCACATACAATTCCATCTATTACGAGATGTTTTCTTACAGTTACAAGTAACAAGTTCAAGAACACATTTTGGTACAGAATCTTTTGTCACAAGATGCATGTGCAGTTTTCCCTGCCTTTATTTCCCACTCATACTCCATTTGGGACAACAGTGCTTTCATAAAATGTATTAACTTTTCCATACTTAGGGCTGTTATGTTGCTCTTTGAATGTCTTATTTCAAGCTGCTTGTGACATATTACCCAATAGCAAATGCTGTTTGTGTGATTCCCAGCTTTTCCTTCATCTGTGTGCACCCTATCAATAGTTTTCAACTGAACTGTATTTTGCATCAAGTCCTATGATTTGCTGATGTAAGCCTCCAAGTGGAAACATCAGTGAAACTAATATTCCTGTGAATGATTTTAGAACAAATTTATATTGGTTAATGGCAATTAGCTCCAATTACTTTTCCAAAATCCTTATAATTCAATAATAAGAGTAGTTTATTGAATCATAGCTGGTCTTGGCTTGCAGGTGTGCCAGTTTTCGCTGCCTTTATGTAATCCTTGATATATATTCACTTACAACAATTTTTTTACTTCAAAATGCCACAACAATCAATCAGTATTTTTGTAATGGGTGTCAAATAAAATCTTATTTTTAGCACTCATAGACATAAATGCTCCTGGACTATATTCCTTGATTAGGCTTGGTTACTTTTTTGTTTCGTTGTTAAAGTAACCGGATTTGTTTTTGTTCTATTTGATACCACAACTAATTACCAATCCTGAGAGTGTGAAATTAATTATCCAACATTATCTACAAACTGAAAGTAATTGCATGCAAAAAAAAACAACAAAAAAAAACACTTGCAGAGTAATAACATTTTTTTTTAAAAACTTGATAAATTCCTTACTGGAGAGTACTGTGCAGATAAACTATACACTGCTTTTGTTGAATAACAGTTGAACATAAGATATACTATCTTTATCTGAATAATTTAATATAACTGCTGAGAGGTGATAATCTTCATTATGTTTGATACAAAATTAGATGCATTTATTCGTAATCAATATGCAAGGCTCAAAGTTAGAAAAAATCCTTAAGAGCAATAGGCTCCTAGATTTTGTAATTTGGTAGCTAATTAAAACTTTAGGGGGCCAACTAAAATATTCTTAATTTTATTATTCCAATTATACAATAATGCATTTCACTAATATTATAATAAGTACAATTAATTTACTGACAGGAAGTACTAACTAGGATGGAATGTTAAATACCTTTGATGGAAGTTTAAAAAAATTAAATATTGAAACTTGAATCAGTCCAATTTCTTTAGACAGCTGTATGCTTGAAACCAATAATATTGGTTTTTCAAACTTTTGGAAGTTTACAAGAATACAGATTTGGCATTTGATTTGGTTATCTTCTCTGTCTGTGTCATTTGATGCTTTTTTTTTTAAATAACCAAGACATGATTTTGATGTCACCATTTAGTCATTTTATCCTGCATTTTCTGCCAACTTAGTCATGATTTATATACTCTTTGGGTCTAGAGGCTCATAATGTTTGTATGATTACTTGGCAACAGGGAAGTTTATTGGATTTTAAAAATACGGTGGTAAAACTATTCATAAGAATAAAAAAGAATGACATGAATATTTGTAAATAAGGTTGTAATGAATATTCAATTTGTATCAAACCTATTCAGTTGTTTTGCTGGATATCCAGTTTGTACAGAAATCAGTATTTATTCAACAATTGAATAACTGAAATTTTCACATCATTTACTGAGAACAGTATAACCTAAAACCTATAATAGGAAATAGGAAGTTACATGCAACAAACTAAAACACTGAGTATCAATTAATTAATAATTCTAAATAGTAAGAACACTTAACAACTTTCATCTCTTCAGCAAAACTTTGAAAATTTATTAAACTTAGTTACCAGTAAAATTGTCCCTAATTCATTACATAATGTAATTTAATATTTTCCAAAGAATATGATGCTGCTTTCTCACTTCAAACATACTTCATTAAAACTGACTGCAATAAGTATAGTAAGATGGAACCCTTGTTATTCTAAAGGTTCTTAATATTAATTTACGTTTAACATAAAGAACTGTTTTCTCATTAATAAACATTTATCAACTAATAGTTTTGCATTCTTGCAGAATGTCACTCACATCAGTTATATTGTAGGAAACTTACCAATTATTAAAGGTACACTGTAATGCTCACTTTCTTATTAGGAATACTCCTTGGATATTTGTTCAATAAATAAAATGAATATGTGGTTTAAAGAAGCATCAGATATGTTTAGGTAAGACAATAAAATTATTTCACCTCTGTAGAAAAATATTATTGACAGCTGTACATTATATTAAAACATTTTGGAGCTTCACAATATCATTACAATCCATATCAATACATATGGTCAAGATCTATCCAACAAACATGTATTTTAAAAACAGCCCTACAGTATTCATTCCACTGCAAGGATGTCATGTCAAAAGCATACCACTCCTCCCTTCTGCTTTCCATGATCAATCTAGTCCATGAAAACAACAATTTCCCAGTTCTTGTTTCAACAGTCCAATTACAATAAAACCCATATGCTGTATCCAGCAACTTAATCATTACATCTTCACATGGAATAGCATGAAAACTCAATCCATTCTCTAGTTGCTTGAAGTATAAAACAATTGAACAGGGGGTATGACTGAAACACTTATCTTGGTGAATATATACCCTGTTGGCCTACTTTATATACAAAGCCAGTATTTCTGTGTGTTATAAAGGGTCCACAACAGTGGTCTGATAGTAATCAGTTCATCATGACCATTTTATCCCCCTCTACTGATCCTTAACTTGCCCATGGCATAATATTCTGTGGTAATCATTAATACCTTCAAAATAAACATTTCACAAAATTCCATGTATTAATTTTGGAAAAAACTTCTCCCACTAACTACTAGAAAATTGTGTAAAACTTGTTATAGTTATCAAGGTATACAAACACCTCATTGAGCATCACCAAATACTATTTTCTCCTGACTAGATACTGTTCATATAATTTTCTACAGTTGGTCTTCCTTTCCTGTAAATGTCATGGAAGGAGCTTGAGTATGTAACTTGTGCCACTTTTCCAGATGGAGATCCTCTATCATTATGCCTGTTGCCTCTGACACATAGATGACTTTTGCCAATAAACTTCATCTTTGTGGTTTCTTGCCTGGTACAAGATACTACATCTTGCTTCCCACAACTGAGGTACAGCTTGTTGCAGATCTCTTTCTGGATAGTCCAGGAGCCCCCAGGTTGATCCATATACTTTTGTTTTCTAATGCCATTAAGAACAAAGGATATTCCATCTTGGAAATTTTAAATTTTGATTGAACACACCTTTATGATTTGAATGTGTTATTTTTTTATGTGAAAAGAGCTATTACATACCTGTCACAAAAGTGACCAATGTTTGGTAGCAACACACTACCTAAGTAATGCCACACAATGTCAAAGTATAATTTTGATACATGGCATTCAACCATGATTTCATACTGGCTATGGTTGTCATATGTGTCGCTAATTTGAATACTCAAAGTCATTTCAATATGACATACTGAATCCTCTACAGAATCTAGACAGGGTCAACTACAATATTGGTATTCACCTACAATAATTACATAACCTTTCATTAATACTTTAATGAAGGATTATATAATTATTCCAGGATAATAAATATGTCAATTATTTGTTGGGCAAACATTTGGTTATTTGGCCAAATGACTTAGTAGGATATTCGCTATCTGGCCAAAGCTATCCATTATATCCTAGAACAGTGGTCATAAAAACATTTTAGTAGTTTGTCTGTTACTCATAAATGAGACTATTCATTAATAATTATAATTATTATTGTAGAATTTTAGCAGGTCTTATGGTAGAAGTTATTAAATAACATCTGTTAGTAACTATTACAGTAGTTCAGGGATGTAGAATGAGGGGGGGGGGTCCAATGACCACCCCAATATTCTAGTCTAAAAGGATCAGTATATTTTGGTTTTTATTATTAAATTAATGCTTCACTTTCAAATCAATCAATCAAATTCTTTGTGTAAAAGAAAAGATGAACTTTGTTTTTAAAAAATGCCTGCACACACCCACACACATATATACTGTAGTGCTGACTACACTCCTACAGTCTTGATTGAGAATATAAAAATGCTACTGGCTAAGTGACTGATCTACCTGTTAGTGCTAAACAAAGGTTTAGTATTGCTTTCATTAAAATATTAAAATTATGCATTCTACTGATCATCTTGTTAGTATTGGAAGTCACGGGTAGAATAACAGAACATCTGGAGAAAAAAGTTTGAATAAGAATATGATAGCTTGTTATATACATTGACCATGCATACATAACCATATTAATATTTAAATTCTGGATCTAAAATATGTTTACATACAGTTATGTACATATGGTTATGCATAAAGCATAATTTTCTGTTAAGTTAGATACAAATAATACAGGTACTTTCTCTGACTATTTTTCTATTCAATAAAAGAATAAACTGTACAAAATACTAAACCCAACCAGTTTATGCATGTTTTTGCATTTTAAATTACATAAGAACAGTGTTTGACATTGTGTGTGTGTGTATTACCAAACTTTCTCACTGAATATTTTGTTGTGATGCAAAGCACAAAAATTACAATTAAGTTTAAACATTTTTACCAGAATATTCTGTTCTAGAAATTCTAAAAACCAGTTCAAAGGACCGTGGAAAATAACTTGATCTGGTGATAATACATAAGATTTTCAACCATTGTATGTTACAGAAAAGAAAATACTTGAGAATTAACATACTAGTACATGTAGGATAAAATTTTGGTTCTCTCATCTACATAGCTCATAATCATGAATGATATGATAAGTTTACACTGAAACTAAAGTGATCAATTTTATATACATATACTAGGAAAAGCTAATATAATGATAACATTTTTAACAGCAACAAATACATGTGGAACTGTTTATAGACCAAGACCAATGTGATATCTCTCATAACTGAAATACTCTAATACCATCATTGAACAGATGAAAATAATTTTCAAACAAAATAGGTTTATAATTAACATTTATCTTCTTTGAAATGAAAGAAATTTACCTCTTTGTAGGTATTTGATTGCATCATCAAAATTTTCCAGCTCTAGAAGAGCTTGTCCCATGAAAAAATGACCCTTTACAGAAGAGGAATCCATGTCCAGGGCACGCCGACAGTCTTGAATAGCCATTTCCCACTGTTGCAACTTCACATAACAGAGAGCTCTGTTTGTGAAAAATGTTGGCATTGTGGGGTTCTTTATCTAAACAAAAACAATTTCTAATTTATTCTTTCTCTTGCAAAATAACATCAATTTGAAAACTCAAGGAGTGTTTTATGGATTTTTACAGCTTCCTGTATATATCTACCACTGAAGTAGATCTTAGTTTAGAAATGCAACTCATTTAGTATACATATACATTTAAAACAGAAGTAAGAATTTATAGGTATACACATTTTTGTTCAAGTATAAAAACTTGTACAGGTACATACTGTCTTTTACATATATATTTAAAATAATTTGCTTTTTTTTTACTATCAAAGCCACTTAAAAAAAAGAGAGAGAGAGAAAGGGAATAAATAGGGGTTATGCCAAGATTAATTAATGCACTTTTAAGTGGTATATCATTTATTGAAAATCATTCAACTACAAATTATTATTCTTCAGAAACTTGGCCACATCTTTTTATGATCACAAGACAGCAGTAACAACAAACATTTGAATGAAAAGAGAAAATGCCAGGCATTTGCAATGTATCTGTTCATTCATTAAACACACAATCACAAAAGTCTATAAAAACCTAACAATGGCTCGCATATTTTTTAATTCAAATGTATAAGTTACATTATTTTAGTACAATATATTACTAAAAGTATGTACATATTTCAGAATTCACCATCAATATATTAGAAAAGAGGTAACTGGTGTATTGTATAAGAGCCTTTTGAAAAACTAAATACACAGAGAATTAGTTTGTAATAAAATAAGACAAACTAATAAAACAAAAGTTACCAGAGTGAATGCTAGTTTCTAGAACCTAACAGTGACCTGAATGAATGGATAAACCTAAGCAGTAAAAAAAAATCATTAATTCTATTTTAAGGGTCACAAAACTGATTTTAAATTATGGCAACTGAAAATAACATAAAAGAAAACTACAATATAATGGAATGATGCATGGTGAAGTGTATGTATTTAAAGTATTGATGAATGGGTTTGAGTTGCAGGTGACAAAATAAATGTTAAAATAAATAAATAAATAAAAATACAAAAAAAAAGAAAGAATAATAATATTATAGGGGCTAGACATTGTATCCGCTAATAGAAGGGCATTTCGATTGAATCAAAAGTGTTAATATAATTTAAAATCACTTTTGTAGCCTGTAATGTTCATAGACCCTTGAAAAAGGCATAAGCCAAAATGTTGGGTAGAATAAATAAGCATTTATCTGAAGTTGTCATCTTCATTAAAAATGGTTTCCATCCTTCAGTTAGCACTGAAATTTAAAAAAAAAAAAGATAAAAAATAATTTCACTTTATTTCTTTTTTATGTTCTTAATATAGCAAATGTTGCCAATGATAAAAACCATGCATTGTATCTTATGATAAATGTTGCAAACCCTTTGGTTTGGTTTGAATTTCGTGCAAAGCTACACAAGGGCTATCTGCATTAACCCTTTGGAAAAAGATATTTTTCAGTTTCTATCCAATCCTATAGATACTTTGAATCAAGCTGTTATGTCATGTCTGATATCTTAACAATGAACTTTTTTATGCCAAGATTATTACTGCAGCATTGACGTTTACCCCAACCTAACAGTAACACATGGAAAATCTTGTTACACGAGCCTAGGATATTTACATAGTACAATTAAACATTCATATAGAATAACATTTAATAGCATGCTAGACAAACACATGAATTATTATTTTTTATTTTCTTCAGTTACTTTTAGGCATTGTTATATGGTCAGCCACTTGTGTTTTCTTTTTATGTTCATTGTATGATGCAGATCAAATACAAGAAACAAAATACTTTTCTTACAAAAGAATACATACAAAAATGGCTAACCTTTTTTATAAAAGTAAAAAAAAAGTAAAACAAAATCTTATACCTCTTGTAGTAAACTTCAACTTTGTTTTTTGTAATATCTATTTTAATACAGTGTCAGATGTTACATTATATTTGCCAATTGTCAATTAAAGGTTTTTACTTATACTTGTTAATAGTATAAAAATATACTGTGTTGTTGAGCTTAGGATTCTTCTACAGTAGGTGTTCGTGACTTATTGGTGATAAATTCAATAATAAATGAACAGCACACACTTCACGTGTTCTCAAAATAATTCATATATATATATATTCAGAACATGTTAAATGTATGTACAACAAATTATTTTATACCACAGAATTACAGACATATGATAAACTAACTATATATATATATATATATATATAGAGAGAGAGAGAGAGAGAGAGGGAGAGAGTTTTCTTCTTGTCAGAAGTTCCTATTCAACTGCTTTAGAATTTCAGTTGACATGCTGAACTACCTGTCTCTATTTCTATTGCACTAGTAATTCTGTGTATAATTCATTTACAATTGTGGTGCAAGTTACTGCAGTCATAAACTGCTCTTCCAGTAATCGTTTGGTCTCCTTTCTTCTTTATATATCCTCTGTTACTTTTCTCAAAGTGCACACAGGCTGATTGAATTACTTTAGAGCCACGCTTTGATGGAATAAATTATTATTTTTATCACCTTTTCTACTGTTAGTCTTACTCTAACATATTAAATGTTAGGCCTATCACTTCTATGGCAGTTAACTTCATGCTGAATTTCTGCCTTGGCCATGACTTAACTCTCTTCTGCTATTGTATGCTGTTTCTGCTCATCTCACACTATTTATATGTTTATCATTTAATCGTCTGCCTGCCTTCTAGAAATCTCTATATTATCAACGTCAATGTATTGCACAAGACAATTGATAGTCTCAACATCAATGAATTATAAACACAACTTCTAACAATTGTCTGCTTTTAACTCTCTTATTATAAACCAAACTAAACAATCATAAAATATTCACTCACAAAATAAATTAATGAATAATCTCTACACTAAACAGTCTCTTATATCATGACATACAGAATACCTCTATTTATAAAATTACAACTTACACAATGGAGTTGATAATGAAATTATTAGTTTATGATGCATCATGAAATTAATTATTGTTCCTATAACCTCAGGGTTTAAAATAAATCATCAACATGTTGCAAATGGCTAGTAAAAATTGCACCAGGTGACTTAAACTTGCTGTAAGCAAGTTAATTTGATATATCAGAGTGGCAGTTGTTATCTGACTATCATTTATCTAATACAGCATCTAAACCATTTCCTGCTATTTCTGTACTATCAACTCCACAGATTAGAACAACAACATGTAATATCTTTGCTTTTCTAAAGGGTCAAAATTAAGAATATTAAACTTCTATGTAGCTAACATCAGTTTTTAGTTTGTTTGCTATGAAGTTAAATACATGCGTTTTAATAATTTTTATAACGGTTAGAGAAATGGTCAACTGTCGGTCTGTTTATCTGTGATATATTTACAGTTTAGATAAGATTTGGTGTAATCTTATGCATAGTTTCTGAAAAATAAGATAGACAGGATGACCAACTTCTTTTCCAAAAAAGTTCATGGGATTGGGAAAAATATTATTCATGGTATTAACCAACAGAAAAAATGGCATCCCTTACAAAAAAAAAATACATAATATCAAGCTTCACATATCTTAAACTCAGATAAAGTACTTACTCTTATACAATAAAACTGAAGCCAAAGATAATTAACTTATGTTTTGTACTTGGACTAAAACCTCTATAATTTAAAGGACAGTGATCAAGAAGTAACATCACATTAAGTAAACTCACTGAATTACTGCTCATCTATGTTTTTTTAAATTATGCCTTCAATTTATATTGTTCATGAAATATGGTTTGCTCTAGGCCAAATTGTATTCCTAGTTTAATGCAAAGAAACGAAAAATTAGACTGTTTGTATATATCTAGCTTTGATTACTGAAGGCTAAGATTATATATATGTACTAATGAACTACACGGTACACTACTTAGTTTACATACTGACTAGTGACCTTAAAAACTTAATACAAATGCAACAGAAGATTATTCAACCTACTGATATCAATCCCCACCAAAATATCCAAAACAAACTATGCTTCTGTTAACTTTTACATTTTTATTCAAATTTTCACCTCCATCACTTCCACATTAGATGAAAATGACATTTACAGACATATTTATGAATTTGACATACCTCTTACTGAAAGATGTGGAAATGCTATCTCTAATGCTGACTAAATGTCTTCATGTATGTAGCATAGTTTGAGAGCTAAAAATATTACCACTTCTCTAATTTTATTGCAGCAGGAAAATCACACCAGTTTTGTGTGCTAGCATTAGGGTAGCCTCACATAACATTGCTGGACTCTTTAACACATCATTGCATTAAATAAATTGCTCACCAAAACCAAACCAAGTAATTAAGTGTAAGTAGTTAAGAAAAAACAAGAACAAATGCACAACATGAAACATTTGTAGCCTCAAATATGAAAACAACAACAACATATAACAACACTATCGGGAATAAAATATAATTAGTTGTAATTAGAAACTGAAGAAGTTAGTGTGAAATAAATTAATCTATAGTTTTTTAATGACTTGTCTTGATTGAATTTCCAAACATTTCTGGAATTCCTTAAAGGTGAATATTAATTTCATTATATTAATTACACCTCCTATTTATAACACGTTGTTTATCAGATGTACTATTTTCTAGTACTGAAAGACCCTAAGCAGTGGAAAGAAGCTCTGTCAAACATTGCTTTTACAAAAGATTGGTTAAACATTGTTTCAGTAAGTGATTAACTTATTGAGTAAATAATTTTAGATAAGTTGGGTACAAAATATATGAACATTTCTCATCAAGTGTGTAGACATTCAATGAAAGATACAAGTCTATGACATTTTCACATGTAGGAATATACTATATAAACATTTGTATTTATGAATAATCTTGTATATGCTAAAAATAATATAAGCATAATATGTTCAACTATGGAACAGTGAATTTGCACTTGTGTGGTATGTTAATTACAATGAGAAAATCTTGTTCATGTATGTCATTTTCATACTAGGCCCATTTTGTTATGCTTCACAATAACTACAGTATAAAAAGTTTTCAAGTGGTATTTTCCTATTTTACTGGTGTTGCCTATGGAAGCACCCATGAAATTTCCTTCCTGTAAACAAACATATTTTGCCCCATTTTGTTGAGCTCTGTATATGTTAAATAACAACTAGATAAAACCTACTCAGGCAGTTATATATTTAGAATTTTTGCTCACTCAGGAACTTAAGCATAATCATTACTTCACAGTGAATTTTACATATTTGTGAAAAAATCCTTTAAAAACCAACATATACTCTATCTTTCATTCTTATCTACAGTTCATTTAAATAAAAAACTTTGCATAAAACTATCTGCTGTTCATACAAACAAGTTTCTGCTTGATAACCATTAATTAGATGAATTTTTGTTGTTGATTTGGTTGGTTGTGTGTGTGTGTGTGACAGTATGACCTTCATGAAACAAAGAATGATCTTGCCTCTTTGCTTATTTCCATAATCCTGAAATAAGATATTTTCCATTAAGTTCTTTTTAAAATATTATATTAGAAGTTGACAATTTTTTTTATCGTTATCATAGCAGAGGCATAAATCATTTGACAAAAACAGAAAAAATGTATTACCTGATATAAAAAGTAAAAGCAACAAATTAGCAGAAGTAATCTTTTTAACACCACAAGAAGAGGAATGCGATTTATTTTATTCTAAAATTATTAGTTTCATTAGAAATCCTTAGTTTACTTACAATAGCACGGCTGTAACATGTTATTGCTTCTTCATATTTTCGTCCACCAAACAATTTATTCCCTAAATCCTTCAGATCACTGGCACTCATTTCTTGCTTCATTTTTTACTCGTTTCTTGATCCTGGAACAGTTTTTTTTTGTATTAATTTGCCAGTCAAAAGTATATTATTTTACCAATCCATATAATTATGGGTATCAACTGTTATTACTTATTACATCCAACTCAATTAAGTCCTTCTCAATAAAAGCTAATACTGAGTAACACTAATAGAACCCTTTCATATTAAGTTATTCTCTTTGGTATTTTGCCATTTTTGTTATTGTGAATACTTATTATATTTTATAACAAGAAACTAACACATCAAAAGTGTAATTTGTATTATATTTTATTTAATCTTAATATTCTAAGCCTCTAATTACGTTTAAATATACATATTACTAATACCAGTAGTAGTAGCAATATGAATATTTAGAGGTTTTAAATCTAATACTACTACTAGAAGTAGTAGTGTTAGTAACACTAACAGTAACACTAGTAACAGTATTTGTTATAAAATACTGTAACGTAAGTTGTAATACAAAAGTTCCACTACACTTTAAGTTTAACTCATATTTAATTTAATATTCGTAAAAAGTTTAAAGCTTAATCGTAACTGACCGTGACAGTAATAACAGTACACATAAATTGTTAATAGTAACAGTTAGTGCTAACAAAACTAGATCTACCCTAGGCCTACGATTTCTTTACACAGAATAATCTGGACGTAGTTTCTCAAAAACACTGAACAAGCTTAATCCTCATCTGATACACATTACATTCTAATTTCTACATACTACTATAGACATCGTACAGACCTGGAAATTGTCGCACTTTTCTCACTTATTGACAAGGTACTTGTGGTTTTTTACGTCTTACACAATGATTAATTAGTTGAACATAAACAAAATTAAATCAGTAATTTAATTTTAACAAAAGTTTTAAAAACGGAACAGAGGTTTACCTAATAATGCTTAGAGACCTATTTCTGGCTCTTCCACTCCCATTTTATACTAGTAACAACAGTTTTATTCTAGGGATGTAGGGATGAAAAAGATCAGACACTAGAGAGCATTTGGGATGGGAGGAAAATATGCATTACCCATTCCTGCATTCCATCACTCACACACTGCACTCACAGGGTGCATGCTTATAAACGTTAGGTGGTGGAATGCAGGTTGGGTAATGTAGATTTTTTTTCCTATTCCAAATGCTCTCTGTTTTCTGATCTTTTCCAATCCCTTCATCGCAACAAGTTTAGAATTAAATTTTTGTTACTAGTTTCTGCACTTTTTACGATTCAAAGTCTTGGCTTCCACTGGGGCTGTAACTTCCAGTTGGAAGGCACCATTTCACCAATCTATTCAGTTCTATTCTATAAGGAACCATAATATAATCTATATACATAACTTCTTTAAGCAAGATAAGTCATGACCAAGATACTGCGTGGTGTGGTAAGGAGTATACGGTGGATTATCTACTTCCATATAATAATGGCTTAATGATCAGAGACCGTGATTAGTACTTTGGGCTGTAACTAACTTCTAATAGAGAAGAAATGCTGAAGCCACTTCCCTGTACTTAGCCATCCGGTATTCTAGTGCAATGGTAAATCACAAATTTTGCATTCACTTCTTCTAAAAAAGATATGAATTTTCCATGTCTTTGTTATTTGTTACTGCCTCTTATGATGTTTATTATTTTGATAACACTGCTCATTACGTCACTCATCTTCAAAATCTTCCTACATAATGCTTCCTGATGTATAATGCCATAAAGAATGATAATATTCACTCCATTTTTCTTAAGCAAACTGACTAATGCCATTTTATTACCATTAATTGATTTTACACTGTCAGTTGCAATGCATGAGCACTTCTGAAACTCTCCATATTCAATAATAGCAGACACAAAAGCTGCATACATTTTGGATCAATTTCTATTGCTATTCAAATGGGTGCATCTTGATGAGTTCTTCATGAATTGATAAATCTTCATCAATAGCGCGGATAAAAATCAGCATTTACATCTGTGCTTCCATCCAAAGCTATTGAGAAATATTTACATTTCTGAAAGATAAATTTTAATTTGGGGGAAACATGTTCGTTTATTTCACTTACTGCGCGTACCATTTTCACTGTGCACTGTTTTACAGCTTCCCCATCTCAAATTTTTTTTTTTCCACTAGCATCAGAGAGACCTCGGATGATGCAATAAGACTTGTAGTTTGAGGTTTCGTATACTCAGTTAAAGCACATTATTCTTTTTCAACTCCTTCAAAATATTAGCCTGTGATTCTCCTACATACTGGTCATAATTTATATTGTATTGAGTGTCTGATAGAACCTTATGTTGTATTCCTTTGGTATAGCAATGGTTTGTAAACATACAACACACTGCAGTTTTTCATTGTTTTCAATAAAGAAAATTTTTCTCCCAATTCAAGTTAAATGACCAGTGTTCCTCAAAAACCTTTCTTTTTGTGGTAATTCATTTTGGAGTTTTGTAGTCCATTTTACAAGTCAATGAATATATTTTTGGTCACTGAGAGCTATAAACGTAATTAATTTAACACCAGATTTATATGATACATCATTACTTGCGAGATACATATCGACCAATCAAATCCGACGAAAAAGTGAAACCATTTTTACAGCGTTACTTAGTGCTGCCAGCCAATTACAGTTAGAGTTTTCTAAAATCAAATTAGCCAATCAAAACTTGCGTTTCATGTACCATGAGTAATATACATAAAATAAACTACGGCGATAGGTTAATCTTTCGACTGGTAGAAAGAATAAGTTTTGCATAATTCTGCAATATAACTATTTCAAGAATTTAGTGTGGTTATATAACACTTATTAAAATTATACTGGCATGTTATTTAAAGAACTATTCGTTTTTTTTCTGCAATTGTCATTAAAGCAAAAACATTTCTTACTTAAGATAACTTCCCCAACAAAAAACATATTTTTTAAGGGACTTGCGAGCCACAAAAACAATCTCGCTGACCAAATGTAGCCCGCAGTTGAACCACTTTGGTTTAGACTGTGTATGCTATGCGTTTTTTTTTGTTTTGTTTTTTTCACGTTGTATTATTTTTGGCTAGAAAGAATTTTTTACGTCACACGATGAGTTTGTGGCAAGTAATGACTAGAACTTTCTTGAAACTATAGGAAACTGTTGCGTCAGCGAGGTCACGTGACTAGCATCACGCCACGTTTTCTAGAAATATCCTGTTCCTTCGTGAATGCCCTCGCATTTACTAGATATGTGTTAGTCTTGTATATATATATATGAGACGGTCACAACGTGATGGGACTACAGAGGTAATGAGTAATTGAACTGCAGTCAGAGAGTGTGTAATTGAATTGAGTATTGTTGAAGTTGAGCACGTGAGACATTAGTTGTTATAGCGTTCGTTATAGCGCGACTGTTGAAATTAAGTGTATCGTAAAGTTGTATTCGGAAAGAATAAACCAGTTTTATTTAAGAAAGGACTTTTGTTGCTAAAGTTTCGTCGGAACGAATTTACGGAAAATTAACTAACGAACGGAGACGTAACAAAACGATTTAAACAGCACAAAAACGTGAATTAGACCACAACAGGAAAAGTTATCACTAAACTTATCATCATAGTATATTTTGGCTTCTAATGCAGTCCAAACTAAACTCTAGTGAATGTAGGTGACAGCCACTAACTCATCCTATTTTGTTGTGGAAGAAAATTTCATTGATTGATGCTGCTAACAATCTGCTAGAGCCTACTCAACTTGAAGAATGGTGTGTGACAACTTCTTCTAAATTTTCTAAAAACGGTATGGTGTTATATCTGTTTCTCCACCTTATATTAGTATACTTGACATTTACAAAGTACTTAGTAGCTCTGGCTACAAACTTTTCAGTAAAATAACTCCTGTGGAGGGAAAAGAGTGATATAGTCACATAGATAGAGTGTTCCTTTTACCTTTGTTCATAGGTTCTTGCCTACTCATCTTATTATTGTATTCGAATATTTCCTGTAAAACCTACAACATTAATCCACCCAGTGTTGCTAACGCTTTCGCTTCCGTAGTTGTTTGCTGTTGAGGACATATCCGTTATTCCAAAATTATGTGACAGTCTCCTCAAAATATGTCAGTTGTGATGGACTACATTCAGTGACTATCATAGTTTGCTGGCTCATGATGCAAAACTAAAACATTATTTTTAACCCCATGTGTACGCGCCGAACGACTGTGCATATCACAGCGTTTTACAGAGTTACATTCAAAATTTAATTAAACAACTGAAGAAATCATTAAAAAAGGACCAACTCGATATTAGAAAACATTAATACAGTGGTGATAGAAGTGAGATTCTTTTGGTGAATAAAATAAAGACCCAATTTAAGATGACAACACATCTTCAAAGTAAGGTAGGAAAATTGCTAGACATTATGTAATAATGATAAGATGATCAAGAAGAACTATCCTGGAACGTCTAACTCATTTACTTGAATGACATAATTGCTTATGGGAAATCCTTTGATAAAGCTTATGAAGTGTTAAGGAAAGTTCTGGATTAGAGAAAGAAAAATTTAAGCTAAATCCCAAAAAGTGCGAATTATTTCATCAACAGTCGTGTTTTCTGAGGCACATAAGTCAGCAGAGAGGGAGATCTACAGATCTATCGAAGACTGACTCTGTCTAGGATCAGCCAGGACTCAAGAATCTGTATGAGGTAAGAGGATTTGGGGGACTTTGTTCTTACTATTGTTGTTTCATAAAATTATTTTATGACGTATCTCGTCCTCTATACAAATTACTTGAAAATCCAAATAACTTCTCTTTGACTACTAATTGTGAATAAGCATTCAACAAACAGAAGAAGAAATTGACCACAACACCTGTGTTATCATACCCAACTCTGGAAGATTCATTTTACATACACATGTCAGTGATTTTGCAATGAGAGCAATTTTTTTCACAAGTATAACATGGAAAAGAGAATATGCCTGCTTATTATAGAAGGTTATGAATGCCACAGAAAGGAGGTATTGTACAACTCGAAAAGAGCTACTAAGCACTGTTCGAGCCCTAAGTCACTTCTGTCATGACCTCATATGAGCAAATGTTTACACTTCGGACAAGTTATAAAATATTGAAATAGCTAGTGAATGTCTGCAACCCAGAAGGGTAGATAAGAAAATGGCTAAAAAACTCTAGGAGTACAACTTCAACATAATGTAACGTCTAGATGAAACATGGAAATTTTGACTCATTATCACAAAGTTTGTGTATTGCTGAATAAGGTAAACATTGCAAAAAGAGGGAAGCACAAGATTGTTTGTTTGCTATGGATTTTACACGGATAATATCTGTGCTAATCGTCCTTAATTTAGCAGTGTAAGACTAACGGGAAGGCAGCTAGTTATAACCATCCACCACCAACTCTTGGGCTACTCTTTTACCAACGAATGCTGGGATTGACTGTCACATTATAAGCCCCAATGGCTGAAAGGGCGATCATGTTGTGACGGGGATTCGAACCTGCGACACACAGACTGCGATTTGAGCGCCCTAACCACCTGGCTATGCTAGGCTGAAGCACAAGCTAGTAAGAGCTACCAATCTCAGTTACAGCAGAGTTTAACCCAAGATGCGACATATACAAGTGTTGATGAAGAATTAATGTGGTCCAACACTAAACTGACAGATTCTCAAGCAAATGATACGAGTTTGAAATCAATTATTCAGTGGCTCCATGATTGTACAGAAAA